TCTATAAATTATTGTGTACCTATATTTAAATAATGTACTGCTGCCCTGTTCATCCTTATGAGTTATCTATCAATCTAGTGGGATGATGTTTATTTCTGGATAATGAATGATTATTTATATTTCCCCTATTTGGTCTATCCACGATTATGTGAATTATTTTCTCAGAATCAAGTGCCACAAATTGAAGAACAATTTCAAAACATATTTGTTGGAAGTCAATTTTCAATGTGAATACATGTTGGTGGCATGGCTGAGAAGAAAAGAAAGGAGAAGCTACTAAGTATTAGAGCTCAGTTTTTGAAATTAATTCAGTGGCTGGGATCCGGTCCCAGTCATAGATGCAAGTCACTGTTAATATTAATTGAGATAAGCTCACCATACTCAGTAACAACAAGAAACTGGCCTTTATGATCAATTGCATCCGATAATAGCAGGTTGGTCTTCCATATAGCTCTGTGAGTCCAAGTGTTATCCCCTGCCTTAAAATGGGCTACGTAGCTTACTGGGTCACCATCATAATATTGTATTAGCGCTTCAAAATCATTAGGAAACAAACAAGGGTCAGCAAACAATACAACCTTTTGAATGTGGAATTCACCATCACAAAAGAAATGCAGCCCAACTTGTGTGGATTCTTTAAATGGTGGAAGGCGAATGGAACGCCCAGTAAAAGGGTTAAAGAGGGTTAGGAACAAATAGTCTCTATCCATATATAAGCCAACCAACCCTGGGAACAACCACATAAATAGCAGCTCTTGTTATTATAAATCAGGCCCATGCTGCAACTCAAAGCTGCAATCTTTGCCTTGTCAACAACCACATAAATAGCAGCTCTTGTTATTATAAATCAGGCCCATGCTGCAACTCAAAGCTGCAATCTTTGCCTTGTCTGAGACCGTACAAGGCTTTACTTCCACCGTAGTTTCGGTCGGTGACAATCAGCATAGGAAGTTGTTTGTGACAAGATTTGAGGCGCTGCTGCTTCTGATCGAAAGCTACGTACAGATTCTCAAAGCTTGCAAACTGCGCCAAACCGGATAAAGTCGGAGATCAATATCAACTTTTCTAGTATCAAATGTAGAATGTTGCCTCGGAGCCATGCCAAGTCTGAATCCAAGGTTGATGATATTGCCTCTGCCATATATTGACAATTTATTGGATTGGATTTATGATGGAAAACAGAGCTGGGGAAATAGTTTTGCTAGGTATACGCGTGTTTATAAGCTTTGCCACTTTCTATACAAGTCCCAATGAACCCTAAACCATATAAGAAAGAAGGGCTTTTATATATATATATAAAATACAAACAATAGTCTAAACTAGAGGGGATGAGATTTTCTAATATTTTCTACTTATGTTATAATAATATGATGTATGACAAATCACTGGCTTGTTCCTATGAAGGACATTTAGGGCCAGTTTGATATTGTTGTGCTATGAAAATAATCACTATTAGATTTGTTGTGAGAGAAATTAGCTGTGAGAGAGAGTAGTTTGGCGTTTGGTAAACTTTTTGTTAAAAGTGTTGTTGGTACTAATTCCCGCATAATCAGAAAATGAAAGCACCTCATTAGCTGTTTTCCCTTATAGCTTCCTCTCACAACAATTTTTAACAATAAGTGATTTTCTCATAGTTTACCAAACATGCTGGGCTTTCCAAAATTTTAATAAGCAATACCAAACGGGCACTTAGAAAAATGAAAAAAAATTCAAAATTAGAAAAATGGGCTTCAAATGTGGGTTGAGCATCTCAATTATGGCGCTAGGAAAAGAAGAAAGCCATATCTTTTGGAGTTTTTGGATTGCTTGATTTCTTAGGAAGATTTATATATTATATTTATATTTTGAGAATAAGTAGGATATTATTTCCCTATTATGATTTAACTAGGACTTTAATTATTTTCTTGTTAGTCAAGGACATTATTAGAATCTATGGTTACTTACGATTTTAGGGTTTCTCTGTTTTCTATTTAAGCAGTATTTTTAGTCTTTTATCATATTATTAATCAAATTTAGAGATTTTTATTTTTACTTTCTACTGGATTCCCTGGGTTATTGTTTGATTTCCTTAGTTTAAACTATACGATATATACATGATGATAAGTTGTTGGTAGATATATTCATGACATGCTGACCGTGATACCATAAAATCCCAAATAAGGACAAAATGAAAGCTCAATACTCTGGGAAGTCTAGAGCAGACACACACATGGATTCAGTTTCACACAGAAAATCAAAGAGTTCAAACTTCCTAATTAGCAATAAATCTGCCCGGGACAATTCGACAAGGTAAGGTGTACTTAGTGAAGCCTGTTCTAGCACTTTTCTTATATGGGGTTTAGATGTTGAGTCACAGCTGACATTGATCGTAAAAACCAGACCTTCGAAACTAACAACTACAAACTGGCCTTGATAATAAATTACATCACAGAAAAGGATCCTTGTAGGTTCGACTATTTGAGCCCAACCAACATCCCCTGACTTAATGTGGGCTATTTTCTTTCCAGCATGATCATAGATTACCAGCACTTCATAATCATTGGGAAACAAACAAGCTTGGGTCAGCAAACAATACAACCTTCATAATGCAGTAATCACATCTAAGAAAATCCGGTGGGACTTCCATGACCGGTGGAAGGCTAATGGTACGTCCGGTGAAAGGGTTTAAGAGTGTTATTACCAAGTTGTCATCCACACAAGCCAACCAACCATGGGAAGAACCGCAACACCTCTTGTTGTAAGGCACATGCAACTCAAAGCTGTAAGTCGTACCTTGTGTGACACTATACAATTCATGCATTTGGTCGTTGTTGCGTTAGCTGCTGGGAACCATCAGCATAGGAAGCTGCTTGTGGCATGATTCAAGGCGTTGCTGCTTGTGATGTAAAGCTACTGATTTCCAATGCCTGCAGACGGCACTAAACCAGATACAGTCTGAGACTGGTATCAACTTCCCTAGTATCGATTCCAGAAGGTTGCATGGAAGCCATGCCCAGTCTGAAACTAGAGATGAGGCCTCTTCCATAGTGTGCTAGATATGATTTTTTAAGGTCTGGCTTTGGGTTGGATTTCATTGACAATTTATGAGGAATGGAGAGGCTTTTCTTTGGCCATGACATTTTGAATAATTATTTATCCCCCTTGGTTACAAAGTAGAATATTCTCATATTCCAGCAAATCCAATGAAAGATTATGGATTTTCTTCCTTGACTGGTTTGATATGATCAAATTTAACTTAAGAATTCAATATGGTTGAATACGAAGTTTTAGAAAGCTCCAAAAGTATAATAAGCTGACTTGAATTATTACATCAAAGCTTCAAAATCATTAGGACACAAACAAGGGTCAGCTGACAATACAACCATGGAAATGCAGAAATAATCCTAAGGAATATCCAGGGATTCGGGGTCTTTGAAGGGTGGAAGACAAATGTTATGCCGGGTAGAGGGGTTCAAGAGGGTTAGTACCAAATAGTGCATGATTGAGGTCTCAGAGTGCAAAGTTATACTTGTTTTTCCTTTTGTGTTTGAGAAATCGGCGCTAGGCGGCCGACTAGGCGCTAGGCGGCCGACTAGGTGCTAGGCGGCCGAGTAGGAGCTAGGCAGCCGACTAGGCGGGAGGACAGCAACGCGATTTCACCGGGTAGGCCCCAGGGAGTTAGGCGGCCTGGGCAGGTCTGGACAGGTCTGACCCCTAAAAAAATGCCATTTTCGAATCTCCAAGGTCAGGGACGAGGTGATGATGTGGCTCAGATTTGGGGGTGGGGAGATGACGATGGTGCTATGAGCGAGAGAGAAAGAGATGATGATTGAAGAAGAAGAGAGGTCGAGGGTTTTGTCTGAGTGAGAGAGAGGGGTTAGAAGACGGCTCGTGTTAGCCTTAGGGTTTGAGAAGGAAAATTGAAAAAAACTAGAGAGATGGCCCGGCTTAAAACACTAATAAAACCAAATGCCCTATTTAGATATATTATTTTTATTGGGATTGAGCCTCAGAAAATACAACATTAAATGGATTTTGCATAGCAACCACTAATAAGTAACAAATAACAAATAAATATTGTTCTCTCAAAAAAAAAAATTAAACAAATAAATATTGTTTATATATATGTACTATGGTAATATTTTATATCAATTATGGTACTTTATAATCTTTTACTTTGTAATTTCCGTCAGTGACAATAATCAGCACAAGAAACTGGGTGTGACAAGATTTGAGGCATTGCTTCTTCTGATCCAAAGCTACAGGTTCCCGATGAACCCTAAACCATATAAGAAAGGTCTTTTTTAAAAAAAAAATTACAAACAATAGTGTAAACTAGAGGGGATGGGATTTTCTAATATTTTCTTTTTACATTATAATATGATGTACGACAAATCACGAGCTTGTGTCTCGTATCGAGTAATTTTTTAGTGTTCCCGGTACACCACATGGTTGGTGTACCATCCAATAGACGGAAGACATATGGAATATGTCCAATGCAGTCCTTTCTTTTTACATTATAATATGATGTACGACAAATCACGAGCTTGAGTATCGTTGGGAGTTTTCGGATTGCTTGATTAATTTCTTAGGAAGATTTATATTATATATTTATATTTTGAGAATAAGTAGGATATTATTTTCCTATTATGATTTAATTAGGATTTTAATTATTTTCTTTTTAGTCAAAGGATATTATTCTAGAATAATCTATGGTTTTTTACGAGTGTAGGGTTTCTTTGTTTTTTGTTTAAGCGAACTTATGGAGTTGTATTTGTAATATTTTATTTTCTGGTGAATTCCTTTAGGGTTATGGTTTGATTTCCTTAGTTTAAGGAATACGATATACATGATGATAAATTGTTGGTAGATATATTCATGACATGCTTACCATGATACCATCTCAATTCCCAAATAAGGACAAAATGAAAGCTCAATATAGATGTTCCAATGGAAAATGTGAGGTTACATAATTTATCACATGGAAAAGTAAAGAAGAAAAGTGAACCCCCATCATCTCCTCATACTATAGTGGGTAAAATCCACAATCCTGTTCGCTTGGGCTCCAGTAAAAGACACTTTTCGCTGGGATCTTGTAAAACACAATCCTTTTCCACATTTCCGTTTTCCAAGTTGAAGACACCCACCTGTGGAAACTCATCTACATAATCAATGAAGTAGATGGAATTTGGACGACACTCCGGAAAGTCTAAAGCCGAGACAGACATGGATACATTCCAATCCAAGAACAAAGCATCAGTTCCTATACTCTCAATCTCAACCCATTGGGCTCCTCCATCATCCCCATAAGCAGACCACACCTTGTAAGCCAGATCCCAAGATCTGGAATAGGACTTCTCCACGAGCAATAGGTCTTCACGTGATGATTCAACAAGGAAATTATGAGTAATAGTGTGTGAAGGTGAACCTCTGGTAGATCTGATACACCAAGTAGTAGTTGCAGGGTCACTGTTAACATTAACTGACAAAAGCCCACCACTGCTAGTAACAGCCAGAAACTGGCCTTTATAATAAATTGCATCCGATAATATCATCCTCGCATCTATGCGAGTCCAAGTAACATCCCCTGCCTTATAATGGGCTACTTGGCTTACTGGAGAATCACTGGTATGGTAGACTATCAGAGCTTCAAAACCATTAGGAAACAAAGATGGGTCAGCAGACAATGCAACCTTGTAAAAGATGGAACCCAAAAAAAAATCCATATCTTCATGTATATCTGGGACTTCTTTGACTGGTGGAAGAAGAATGGTACCTCCGGTAAAAGGGTTGAAGAGGGTTAGGACCAAAAATTCACCACCCATATAAGCCAACCAACCATGGCAAGAACTACAGCAACCGTAGCTACTGTGATTATTATACTTAGGCCCATGTTGTGGCAACTCAAAGCTGTATGCCTTTCCCTGTGTGACACCGTACAAGGAACCTCTTCCACCGCGGTTGCGGGGGATGATGAGCATAGGAAGCTGTTTGTGACATGATTGGAGGCGCTGCTGCTTCTGATACAAAGCTACCGATCGCCAACGCTTGCAAACCACGCCAAACCGGATGTAATCCGAGATTGGTATCAACTTATCTAGTATCAAATCTAGAACGTGGCTTGGGAGCCATGCCCAACCGGAATCAAAGGTTGATGATATTGCCTCCGCCATATATTAGTGCTCGTTAATTTCCTCACACTCAAAATATCCAATAGTTGCACAACTATTTGGAGGCCTAGGCTTTGGCATTTTATGCAGAAGTAGTCCCAACAGTCCTAAACCGCGTAGAAAACTATCACATAAAGCTTCTCAATCCTAGTTTAATTTGAAGTCTCAATCCGAAACTCATAGTATATCAATATCCAAAAAGTTTGCTCTTATCTGTTTGGAAATCAAAGAGTTCAAACCCCACTAAAACTGTTTTTTCCTTTTAATCGATGGGGGTGGAGATTCAAATTTGGAATATTGTGAAGATGAGCATCACTAAACTAATTGCTAGTTGTTAAGTTCAAACTTTTCCTTCCTTCTCTAAGTGAAATTGATATTGTTAGTTACATGTTGTGATTTCTTTTTAAAATTTTAGACGTAGGAAAATAACATTTGTTAAAATTTTAATTTGTACCTTTTTTGCGGCCAATTATAATGGTACTTGTTCTCTATCCTCGTATAAAAACAAGTGGCACTACATTTCTATCTCCCATGATGCAACCAAGCCCCTATATAAAAGATGAGCATCCAAAAGTTTGCATTGATCTGTTGTGTGTGAAAAAAAGCCTCTAATATTAATCTTTAATTAAATATAAATATTCAATTGATATTTTCCTAATAAATAAATAAAAAGTAATACAATCTTCTCCAAACACTAATACATACATATAGAAACCTAACAAGACCTATATCTTATTAGAATTAGAGAGGATTTAGTTGCAACTATTGTAATCCACCCAACATCTCGAAAATCAGGGAACACAGTCATGCTCAGGACTTTCGAATGTTGGGTGGTTGGACAGGTCAGTTCTTGGGTTAGGTTGGATCGGGTCAGAGACCCGTTGATTAAGCCAACACCATGGTTTGAGGGTCACTTCAATATGCAATGTTTGGTTTGTATTTTTGTGAATGAATCCCTTCGGTTCCTAGTTGTAAAGTTGCATTATTAAATAAACCAATTTGCCTCATTCGTAGAAAAGAAGGCCATTCACTTTTTATGTGGGAATTTCCGAACTACAAGTTGCTTAGGCACATAACCAACCAGCATGTCCTCTTGAACCACTTGTCCAGACGACATGTTGAATGGCCCAAAAGCAACCAGATCACCATATATCTCACAAAAGTCACAACTTGTAATCTTATTAGTACCATACTCATTCAACAAGATGAAGGAAAAAAAACTCTTTAAGACTGCTGAGGTTGCAATGCATATATATGTCTGAGAGTTTAGAATCGAAGAATCGCTTATG